AACCAGTGAAAACGAAGTCTGGTAACACAACCAACTAGTTTTATCATCTCAGCCGCTCACACCCGCAGGAGTATGCGCTGCGTAGGCCCCGGCGCGGCTCTGCATCGTCCTCCGAGGAATCTTCGGGAATTTTAATAACATAACTCGGGTCTCTTAAGTTATTTTTCTTTAAAACAATTCTGTTATGGTTAAAAAAAGATTTAATTGGAAGTCTGTGTTTGTGTTCTTTATTGAAATTAAATCATTTAGCAATATCATAAAATGTCCAGGCAGAACTTTTCAATAATTATCGATGTCGATCAATATGCATTTTTTTCTTTTTATCGATAAGCTTTTATCTAATTCACGATTTAATTCAGGTGTGATGGACCAGAGATGTAAACAATCAACTTATGATTTATTGTTGGTAAACAGTTTGATTAAATTGGTTCCATCTTATTTGTTGTGATGTTACGGTCGTCCACTAGAGGGCGTAGATCCTCAGTGTTAAATTAAGCCTAACTGCTCTTCCCAAGAGAATTAATACCAGAGCGGAGGTTTGTCTAAAAAACTTCAGTAAGAAGATTTTTCTAAACAGCAGTACCAAGGATGCGGGCCAGCTGAAGGCCGTTACCAAGGCAACAGCTCATCAGAACCCCTGGCTGGAGACCGAACCAAGATCCTGTCCAGAATAAACTGTTCAGTAGGAGCCATGTTGTACCTGCTGGATCCCGAGGCAGAGGTAGAACAGGCTGTCGGGGGAGTACGGCTCCCCGTTGGGTCGTTTCACCTCAGTGATGAAGCAACACAGACCGTAGCTGAGTTCGGCTGTGGTGCAGCGGAGAATATCCTCCTTCAGCTCCAGAGGGCGCGCTGAGGACGAGTCCGATGGAATCAGGGCACAGAAACAAAACAACTCAGTGTTTAAAAAAAAAAAAAGCGGCGTCTGGTTAAACTTACAGCCGAAGCGACGCTGCTCCAGGTTGGGCTGAGTCTGCCGCCACTGGATCCAACGCTTCCACGCGTCGATACCGTACTCGCTCTTTAGCTTCAGGATTTCTGCAGAAATGGGTTTCTTGGACGAGGTTCTAGGAGGACTCTCTTCAGCGGCTTTAGACGACCGCTGCGATTTACGACCCTGAAAGTAGGAGAGCGGAGAAACATGAGGCTGCGTCTGTTGCTGCGATAGAAGCTGAGCAGACGGCGTTCCTCTCTTACCCTCTTGTCTCTGGCTTTTCTCTGAGCTTGCCTCCGTTTCGGCACAGGCGCGGGACTCGGGGATTTGTTGCAGTGCTCTCTCAGCCGGGCCATCCGCTCCAGGGTTTCTAAATAAAACAACTCGGATCATCAGAGGGAGGAACTCCAGCTCTGAGAAGGGTCCGGATCCGTGTTATAATCTCACCGATGGAGAAATCAGCTTCGATGTCCATCGGAGGCGGGCCCGGTGGCGGCAACGGTTCCGATTCTGGTTCAGAAGGCGAAACAGCGGGGACGTCCATAACTGGGTTCAGCTTCTCAGAGCCGAGCTGCCGGCCGGGGAGCTTCAGGGCGCCGTCGGAGGACGTTTCCTCCCAGTTGTTCAGGAAACTGGCCAAGTCGTCCGTATCCAGATCGTCGCTGTAGTTACTGATGTGATCTGAGGAGTAAAGATGAAAGCAGCGTCTCGTCACTTCGTTCTGCATCACGACACTTTGCTTCCAAACAAAGTTAATACGCATGGAGGAGCCGCAAAAACCCACCAAAGGTTTCAGAAACGGTTCAATACGTTTAAGTATTGCTGTGCCCCCCCTCTGCCACCTGTTGCTGTGCCTCTTCACTATTTTTTTTATAAAGAGGATGAAAACCAGGTAAGGAAACTAGGATGGCTTTTATGAGGGAAATGTTCAGCAGCTGATTGATATCTCCACTAATTATACTTTTACCGGGAACCTTTTTCTATGTCTGCTTCTGTCTCCTTGAACCCCAGTGGGCCTCAGCAGATGGCCGCTCACACTGAGCCTGGTTCTGCTGGAGGTTTCTTCCTGTTCAAAGGGAGTTTTTCCTCTCCACTGTCGCTACAAGCATGCTTAGTGTGAGGGATTGCTGAAGAGTCAATGAGTCGATGCAATCAGCTGGTTTTCCTTAGATAGAAAACTTGGAATCAATCTGACTGGATGATCTGGTGAACTGGAAAGTGACCCGAGATGACATGATGTGAATTGGAGCTATAGAAATAAACTGAATTAAATAGAATTTCCGGTGCAGTCTGTTCCCGATCTGCACCGGAAATGGGATCCTACGCTATTTCCGGGAGCTAACCTTTTCGGCTTTGTATCCAAACATAAAACTAGTCTTAGTTTTAATGTTTTACTTTCGTGTTCACCTTATGGTATAATCTAAAGAAACAACTAAAATGCAAATAAACATGGTTTAATCCTATTTTGCAGGACTGCTCTGATCATATCCGATGATGACATCAGAGAAGCAGTTTATGACATGTTGTGAATTGGAGCTATAGAAATAAACTGAATAGAATTGAAAAGAGAGCTGAGCAAAACAGAGACCAATTTTTTGCAAACTGAAAACTATTTCTAAAAGAACTATTTCAATAAATCTGTTAAAAAAAAAAACAAATATAAATAATAAATGAGCTCCTGTTTGTTTTTTAAACGTATTATTAAATTAAGCTGGAAGCAACCCAGGGTTTATACAGGAAGGAGTAACTCTAATTTAATGCGTTTTTATGCTCTTAGAAATAATAATTTAATGCAATCAAAAAGTACTCATGACTCTCATATATACACGGCAAAATCTTTCGTCACCTTTTCTGTGGAGAGGCCACAGCCATGTCCTGAATTTCTCACTTTCCAGCTACTTCTGTTTAAATTAGCATTTTCCTATTCTCTTGCTTTTTCTGCGCCTTGAACTTTTCTGAAAATACGGCTTAACGATCAACCGGAAGCAGTTCCACGCAAATATATCAAAATATATCTGACAACATTTTTTTTTTTTTTTACTTTTTTTTCCACATACATAATCCAAACTGCAAGTAGCATAATAATAAAAACGAACATATTCTGTCGGCAGGTTTCATTTTAAGTTAATGTAGGCGTTAAACTGTTTCAGAGGAGCGATCATAGCGCTCTGCTTCAGCAGTGCTGTGTCTGACTCCCTGCCAGCTCCCAGATCAGCTGCTCTGATTGGTTGATGTGGCGCGTGCAGCAGCTAAAGTTAAATTTTTCCTAATCTAGCATCTGCTGCTGTCGCGGCTCGTTGCGCACCTCAGATGCTCATGATGC